AACCCCTACCACTCTGTGATTCTGTAAAAAAAACAGGGAGAAACATCAGCAACTGCTGTGCAGCTCTCCTTGTTAGCATAAAAGAAGGCCCACATCAGTCTCCTGACTGCAAGTTACACTACCTAAACTGGAAAAAAATCACCACTCTTTACAAGATCATACTTTAGGGCTGCTCTTCCTAACAATCCTGTTTATGGCTCAGTCTTCCCAACAGCTGTACTGCCATAAGCAGTGGGAAGAAAAGAACATCAAAATCCAGCTCTCAGAATTAGTCATTGAATTACATCCTCCAACAGCTGACTTTTTAGATAGAGGCACTGTCATTCAGATGTAAATACTATCCATACTGTAAACTAGAAAGCAATTCATTGTAAAAAATAATATCTCAAAATAAAAAATCACTGAGAAGACATGTTAAGTGAAATGACTCAGAAAAGAAACTTCACTTTATTATGTAGCAATTAAATGATTGCTCACATTATCATCCTCCAAGTCTCACATCCCTTAAAGATGCTTACTCCTGACAGGAAATCAGTGCAAAAATACAGAGCTAAGGTGAACAGCCTCTGAACTACCACCAGTCAGAATCCCAGTGTTGTCATGCAAATCTACACATTTTGTGAAACAGCTGCAAATAACGAAGACAAAGCAAAACAAAGTCTCCACAATCATCTCATTTCACACTAGCTGAGAAATCGAAAGCAGCAATCTGAAGTCTCTGAAAAAGCCTCTATCACTGCCAAGTGCTTTTGCCAGCTGAATTTCCACTGAAGAGGACATTGTCATCTGTTTCAAAGCTGGAAAACGTGTTCTCCCCTCAGTGTCCATCAGTTCCTCATTTCCATCACTCTCAGCTCTCAGGACCAGGATCCTCACTCCAGTGGGCTCCCCATTTCTCAGTCACAAGCTTAATGAAGTAGCTGTGACTTGCATACAGCTTGAGCTTCTCACTGATGTCAACCCACTTCACTACTCCAGCATCATCTCCTGCTTCCAGAGGCAAATTATCCATTATCTCACCTGTTCACAAAACAAGAGTTAGGACATCCTATTGCATCTTTCCTGCTTTTTCTTCAGTTAAAAGTTTAAAAAGTTTAAAAGCTTAAACAGTTCCACCCCTACACATGGCTCCTTCATAGGCAGCAACCTTCAACTGCTTCTCAGAGAGAAACCAATTGCTCACTGATTCTGTGCCAGAGACCTTTTCCATACTTGCACTATTTTAAGGCAAATCTTGAGTGTCAGAGGTGGTGTTAACTCTCCTTTTCACCACTCCTTGGTTACCATCAGCAGCATGACAAGTTACTAGAAATCATTATCACAACACATACACACCATCACAGGTTTAGCCAATCCCTCTGCCTTGATTTTTGTTTGTTTGGCTAACATTTGACTGCTTCCTTTCTCAGGTACTATTCTACAGGACAAATTGAATTCAGAAACTTATACATGCTTATGGAAAACCAGAATAATTAAAATTTTACTAAAGGCCCCAAAAATCAAAACCAGTACTTAAGTAGCCCTTAAAGTAGTACTACTTCCTGCAGAAAGGCTTCTGAGTTGCTCCAAAGAAATGTTTTTAAAAGTATTACAAAACGTGCATTAGAAACAAAGACCAAAGGAACAGTATCTTCACCGGTTTTGAGGGCTGATAAATCAAGGACCAGTGTCATCTGAAACTGGCATCTTCTACACAAAACACAGTGGAAATATCACTGTATCAAGTCTGACTTGCAGAAGTCAGAGACACCTAACAAGATTGATATATCTTAAAGGGAGAAAGATGAGAATTCAAGATAACAGATCGTCTAAGAACCAGCAATGTATGCCCATTCCTACTGATTTAAAGAAGTAAAATAAGGTCCAACAATTACTCTGGCAGAGTACAGAGATAAGAGGTCCCAGAGCAATTACAACACCAAAGCAGTAACTGCAGTGAGAATCTGCCAGAGGCAATGTTCTTGAAGTACACACTAGCTACTAAAGGAAGAATAACAAAACCAGACTATCCTTCCACCCCAGACTCATTAAAACAGGCAATTAAACCAACTCAAGATAAATACAGTGACAAGAAGGAACCCTTGTCCCACGTTCAATCTGCATACAAAGGCACATGGTCCATGACTTCGAACTAGCTAACAAATTAATAAATTTTCAGGCAAAGTCTGCATGTTCCTTATTTCAAGACTAGCAGAAACCAAAAGCAAATGACAACCACTGGCATGGCTGAACATCTTGCGAGACAAGATATCCTCATGCCCATTGGTTTTAGTTCAGTATGTCATACCTGACTTGCATGCTCCCCCAGTTTCATTGCCAATCTCAGCCCAACACGCATCCCAATTTCAAACCAGCACAGAGAGTAAACAGCAGCTAAGAGAGCATACCTGGAGATACTCACCGGTTTCATCGTGATAGTTCACAGCCTCTGTCTCCATCCAGGCATTATCAGTGTTACGAGGGTCATCCACATATCCTCTGTACACCTACGGCCTCAGAAAAAAAGAAACAAGCTCAGTGTCACAATGAACAAGGGGGAATCAATAAGAAGATTTTTTTTCTTTCTATCCAACACATGTGCTCTCAAGAGTTTTCAGTCATCCCTTCCATTTCATACACCATGACAACCCAAGCATCACAGCTTAATTTCATTTCAGCTACACTTTTACAAGCTCCATACAGCTGCAAGTTATGTGCATAGCTCAAGAGGCTATCAAGAGAGACAGAACTCACCACAAAGTGTTCCTGACTGAACAGCTCATGGAGTTGCTTCTCCAATTCTGCTTTCTCCTCAGGCGATTTCTGCAAGGAGTTCAAGGCCTCCTCCCCAAATTCTCGCTTCAGGGTAGCACTAATCTTCTCCCCTGGGTCCACCATCCCCTTGGAGGGAGGAAAAGGAAAAAACGTGACTACCCCTCAGATTCCACAGTTTTACTCCCCTTGGACTGGCCCTTAGTATATTACATCCACCTGCACCATACTCTGGACATGGGAGGAACTTTACACTTAGTTGTAAAGAGTGAGCATGCACATCCTTCAAAACCTGCCCCAGACTAAACTGTGCCTGCATTAAGCCAAAGACGTGGTCAGAATTAAATACAAATAGCACCTTCAACGCAGAAACAGCAGAAGGCACACCAGCTGATGGCAGATGGCAAAGCCAGTTTAAGGAGCCTTTCTCCTCACCTCTGCAACACAAGGTCGTTCATCAAAAAGCATGCTTTTATCACAAGCACACCAGTTACCACCTCATGGCCTTACCAGCGGGAAAAGGCCTACAGTCTCCGGAGCTTGGCTCTTACCCCTGGAATGGCCCACTCCCCACAGTCTCTCCTCTTGATAGCTACGAACTGTAAGATGTTTTTGTCAGAAACTGGATGAACCAATTTATTGCCACCTCTGTCTCTCTTCCACCTGCAGCAAACAACAAACAAGAACATGCTTTGCTGCATCTTGACACTACAGCCTGGGAGAGGATGAGCAAGGCACCTGTGCTGTCACCTGCAGGAGAAGGGGGGCAAACAAAGCAGGGAAAGAACAGTCACAGGGAGTGGGGCACCAATGGGTGCTGTCCAGCAAGAACAACCAAGGGGAAAACACTGAGTTTTCCACACACCTCTTCCAATTATGGTTTCCTCAGCCAAAAGGGCAGAAAGCACCCAAAGGTCACAATTCTGCAGCCATGCTCATAGCAGCAGCTCCTTTGACAGTTACGTGCAGCACATCCTCTCAACTACAGCACTCGCTGAGCTGCACGTATGCCTATCCAGAAGGAGAGAAGTATGCCTTCTGGTAGAACAGAACACACATGCAGGGTATACCACCTCTGAACTGCTCACCCAGCACCAGGCCACAAACGCACACCACTGCCTTCAGTAAAGAATTAAGAAGAACCACCTATAGTTAAAGCAGGTACACTGCCTTTTTTTTTTTTGCAGTTTAGACATTGTGACAGAAAAACCTATTCCTGCAATTTAACATGCCTTTTTTTTTAAAAAAATCCGCTTTTCAGCACTTCAGAAGTGATTGCTTGTCATCAGCAGCGGGTCCTTACTCTTTTCCAGAGACAAAGACTAGAAGATTATGAAACTCATGTTCTACATGCCTACATATCTCCCCATCCCGACACCTAGACCTGAATAGGCTTACACAGATGGGCACACACAAAAGGCGCGTCCAGAGAGGCAGAGAAAGAAAAATGCACGAGTTCTTCGCTCTACTGCAGGGTACCCTTCAGTCACCTGTCCCTTACCTAGTTACAATAGGATCAGCAGCATGGTTTGGTCCCCAGCGCCCTAACAATCCTCTGCCTGTGAGGCCAGTCCTTCCCACCGGATTTCTGAAATAAGCAGTGCAGTACATTAAACATTTACTTCCTCACATTCAAAATATGCTCCAAGGACTCTAAAAAAGCAGCTTTAACAAAGCTTAAATAACAACAAAGGAAAGGACAGCAACATGCATTTGGTGGCACCACATGCTTTAAAGAACCAGAGAACAGAGCATGGGTTTCTCCTTCACCAACCTCTTGTGTCAGATAGTACAGGGAAAGGAAACGCACAAAATGACTTGGTCATTTCCCTGATCTGGTGTCCCGAGAGTCTCTTGACCAAGTGCTACTCTCATTGTGCACACAACCTTGCCTGAAAATGGAATCTGCTTTCCAGGACTACAGATGCACAGAGCATTCAATTCTGTACAAATGGCAAAAGAAATTACTTTAAGGTGAGGTTACCCATCTGTGCTATGCCAGGATTTGGCAGTGGAAGAAAATGCTGTTCTGCTCTGTCACTGCACACAAGTGGTATAAACGCTTCAGAGCCCAACACCTAATCAAACTGTGGAAGCAATTAATTCAACAGACCCTACTATTAACAGTGTTAGACATCTTTCAACTCCAGTGTCATCACAACCCCCTGTTGTGATAGTACTGGTTAACCTTTTAGTGCCTCTCTGCCACATCCTTCTTCCAGAAAGCACTTCCTGGCCTTGAGGTCATGCTTCCTGTCCCAAGGGAACAACATCATCATTTTGTTCTAGCAGGTACCACGTATCAAAAATTACTAGTTCTGACCTCTAAGTTTTTGACTTGTAACAGCTCTGAAACTACATCACTGAAATCAATATGCAAACAAAAATAAAAACCCACTCACCGGGGTCTCCCATTTTCAACCACATACAAGCCGTTCAGACTCCTCCTCTCCACTTCTCCATCTCTCTCATTGAACTTGGGAGAAAAACCTTTATCACTGTGTGGAAAATAATTCAATAGAGACAGGTTATAAAATGCAAGACACCCCTCTGCCCCACAAAAGCCTGAAGGCTACCCACCAGATCAGCAACACCTGTTTGACCAACAAGCAGTTTTACCAGAACTTAGGCAACAGGCCCTCCCTTTCCTACAGAAGGCTATCATGTCTCAGCCTTTACTGATTACAGAATTTCTCCCTGTCAAATTTTTATTAGATATGATTTATCATGGTTACAAGCTAATAATCACCAATTTTCAAAGTTAGCTCCATGCCAATCTCCTATGTGCACCTCTGAAAACTGGCAGAGGAGAAGCAGCAGTCTACAGAATAGCATTTTCTTTCCCAAAAGCAATTCCTCTCAAACCATCACACCTTTCAAACTACTGACTGGCTTCCTCCACACATAATCCATGTAGGAAGTTACACTAATACCTAGAAAACAACTGCATTTTCAAGTACTACCAACATCTACTAAAAGGTTACCTGACACTTTCCCAGATATGCCTTGGCAGAACATCAGCTGCCCTACAGAGTCTGAGGAATAGTGTGCCTTGCAGTCAGTAGAATACTAAACCAAATTAAGAGCAAATAGAAGCACATGTTCACACAGCAGTGGGAGACAAGGAAGGTAAGGCTGAAATCTCAAGTACCATTACCTTCTGGTCTGCCTACACATATGTGTATACACAGGAATCACCATTTTACATTACCACAAGTTACACTAGATGTGGGCATCTAACCTAACGAAGAAGCATACAGCATTCCTTGGAAGGAGAATATATTCACAGAATCAATAAAAATTAATACACACATTCAGAAAAAAATAATCGTCATGCATTCAACTTGTCACATTTCCTGAGTCGAAGTGTTCAACTCAAGAAATGCCAACTCTATTTTAATTCTTTTCTCATCATGCATTCCATCCACAAACAAGTATATTATGAAAATGTTCTCCCAGATTCTTAAGGAGAATTATGAGATGTTTACTTAGTTCACAACACAGAGAAGCAGCACTACACAGCATCAACAGCTGCCCATTATTCTAATTAACACTACCCTTATCTCAATCACCAGCTCAGTAAAATCACGTGTCAAAGACCCTCACAGTTAACCCAAACCATTCCAGTTTTCTAACCACCACTTTGTTAGGCCTTCACTTTCACACATCACAGTAGAATCACATGTCACTTAAGCTGATAATCTCACTAACTCATTAATCACAATTTCCTACTTGCATGTTTACAGGAGAAAAGAGCCACAATTTCCACTCACTTGATCTGGGGATCTGCCCAACTGGGTCCAGCCAAAACAGACACTGCAGTGTAGTCCACAGGATTATAATCTTTCCACTCAATCAGCCAGTCCACTTTATCTTCAGGAACTTGGTTACGCTCAACATGTGATCCTGGATATGGGGAGGTGAGAGCTTCACTGTGGTAGAACTTCACATTATAATTGTTGAACATGTTAATAGGATGAAGATGGGACCAACAGTTTGCAGATGAGTTACTGAAAGGAAAAAAAAGGCACCTCACTCATTAGGCTTTAGCCCCGTTACTTAATCCCAGATCTGCATAGTACAGTACAGCAAGTGGGTCAGACCAAGCTTTCTCCACAAAACAGCTCTCAGTAATATACTATTGCTTCTTTCAAGCATCATGCAAATATATATGCCTGGACCAACAAATTCTGAATTCTATCTTACTCTTCTTGAAGCAGAATAGTATTCTACTAGACACACGTGAATATTTCATAGCATGAGTGAGAAGCTGAGAACTAGAACTGCCACTCCAGACTGTGTGGAACACTGACCAGTTATTAATTATACAACGAAGACTGCAAAGATAATTACCATAGATGCAGCAGGAAGGCCTGCTTGAGCATTATTTCTCTATGTGGGCATGTCATCAAACCAACCCCTCCTTGCAGAAGTCCTGCTCTCACATCCAGTAGTAGACCAGGTAAGAGCAAAACCAAAATATCCAAAAGCCTGAGCAACGCAGCTCTGCAAGTTGCTGCGACCACCAAGATATCATTTTGTGTAATACCAAGTAGGATAACACATACCTTAGTTTTCAGTTTCAAAAGGTGGCTAGAACTATCAAACTGTAAGTTAAAAGAAAAAAAAATTTGAGACATCTAGTGATTTTATTTTGCCATGGGTTTTCAGAAGCTGAAAGACCAGTCAACAATAAAAATACTTAACAGCAGATTGAGTTACAGTGCCTGATCATCAGCTCTTAAAAATTCTAGAGATTTCCTTCAACACACAGAGCAGCCTTCCTGCACTCCAAAGGTGTTTTTTTTAACTGTTACCAAAATAAAGAGGATTATTCTAGGTAAGAGGCTCAAAGCTCAACAAGGAGCTATAACCTACAGAGTACTCTAAAACCAAAATATCTATCAGCTCTTACCAAAAAAAAAAAGGCAAACTTTTCAATCAGTAAAGAATCACTTCCAGCATATAAGGAAATATTTCTCCTTTGCAAAAATGCATCTAGGTTATAACAACATAACATCCAAGCAAGGTGCTGATGGGACCAATGAGTTTCAGATTAAAAAAAGAAGGCAACTCATACATTATTAACCTTGCTATTTGAACCCAGGTGTGAATAATAGATTATACCTGTCAGAACAGGGCAGACTTGCTCAAAAACAGCAGTTCCCGTTCTGAACACGTCACTCATGATATGAAGTCTCCAGGTGCATCAAGGAGAGCAGGTTCTGCTTCAGACTGAAAATGAGAATTCATTGATCACAGTTACAGCACACGTGCTGTCATGCTCACTGCTGAGGGCATGTTCTCAAGAGCACAATTCAACTCACGCATCACCTGAGGTTCATAAAACCTTTGACAGAGACAGGGCAAAGGGCATACTTAATAGGGTGCCAACCTCCACATGCTGGTCACTATTACATCACTTCTGTATTTTCCAGTAACTGCATCAGTTAAGTTTTAAAGCACACCCTGATTTTTGTTTCTGCCATGTCCAAAAGGGACACCCTCAGCTACACAGCACATCCCGTGCCAAACTCTCCTTCGGCTGTCAGGGCATGTCAAAGCAGCCAGAGGTCTCGGCCCTGCCACGAGGCGGCTGCTCTCCCAAAAACAGGGCACCACCGCAACAGGGCAAAATGCCACCAGAGCCACCGACTGAGCCAGGCTCCAAGACTCGGGAGAGCCAGGCCCAGCCTGGCCTGGGCAGCACTAAGCTTCACCATCAACAGGCCACGGTACCTGAGGGGCGGGCGGCGCTGGAGAACAAACCGGGCAGGCTGGGTGGCCAGCGCAACAGTGAAAGACAGCACGGCGACGGCCCGAGAGAAACCGGGCACCGTCGCCGCACGCAGAGCACCGGCGAGGAGCAGCATCAACGCCGCCACCGACCCACCTCGGCTTCACAGAGCTGGGCCCAGGCCGGAGACAAGGGCTCTGGAACGCCTGAGCGAAACAGCGCACGCGAGCGACCGTCCCGACTTCCACGCA